TAAAATTTCAGTCCCCTAGACTCCGTGGTTCCCGAGATATTAATTTACCCGTAAAAAACTTTCACGGGGCCATACGTGTCAGGCAACCCCGCAACAATATGCGTTTTGTAACGCTGTTACACAGCACAAAACGCATAAAATAACGTAACAGCGGCACCCTAAAAGTGTTAGTACAGAGAAGACAACAAAATAAAAAGTATTCAATAATTATTCAATATTTTATACTTCGGACAACTGTTCCCCTCATCTCCATCAGCTAGTAATTTCTCTACACCTCTCTGTTTTAGATCTCTTCCATCCAAACAACTCTACATAGCTGTTCAAGCTGATTCTTCCATCGCATTGGCCGCTTTCTTGCGTTCTTTTAATATGGCATGCGTACCAACTAATAACAAATCTGTTGTGTATTATTTGCCAAAATCCAATTCTTCCAGATGCATACAAATCCGACGTTTTTTACAAAAGACCGAGGCTTCATAGACAGAAATATGCTGTGATTTGCTGACACCTGCCATGTGTTGTTTCATAATTCATTCGGTTAGCGTAACTTCTACTCCATTTATTTTCATACGATAGCACTGGTAACACTGTAGGGATGAAAAGTTTTGCTCCCACATCTGTTGTTATTTTAGAATTGAAAAAGACCTCGCACAGCCTTGTGATTATTGACTATCCTTTTCTCTTTGTTCTGTTCAGCTCCAAAACTAATTTGTTATTCATCTGTACTGCTTGTCCTATGTAGATATAACTGTGCAAAAGCTCAGCACACTGATCCTTGAATCCTATGTGAAACTGAAAGCAATACACGTGCGCCATCCACTTAATTTTTTGTCCATGGATTTGAAGTCAAAATTCCAACGCATTGGCCGCAAATTCGTTTTAACAGACATTACAATGCTTGTGGTTGTTCCGCATTTAGTAAATATCATTTGTGAAAATTAATATTTCCGTCCACAAAAAAGCCCTCTGTTTTTTCAGTTCTCCGAAACTGTTTTCCAGTAGACCTGTGTAGACTTTCGAAAAACAAATGCCTCTCGATCCATGCCTCTGACGATTCAGATTTTTGTGGACTCATAAAAAGAATGATTTCCGTAATGGACAGAGACAAAGTTTTTAACGATTTTGATATAAATCGGTAAAATTTCATGTCCGAGGGTTCCCACACAGTAGCACTGTACTCCACTCAGTCGAAAGCCTTCTTGAAATCGATGAAGAGAGAGTAAATAAGAAGCAATTTCGTATTCCCCACATGTTTTTGTTCATCTGTGTTACAATGAAAATGCCATCAACAGTGAAATACCCACGTCCGAACCTTTCTTGGCCATTTCTTGAGTTTCCATCGAGAACTGCGTCAAATCTGGCATGAGCACAAAAAGCTCATAGATACCTATCTGACAATATGCATATTCTGTACAATTTACTTAATCGCGAGGCAACTAACTCAGTGATGCCGATGAATGCGCTGCTTACAGGATCGTGTGGCTTTCGACGAGGTGACGAGCTTTCGTAGGTTGGTATTGGCGGCAGCTCGGCTGGAGGCATAAAAACAGGTCCCGGAAGCAACACATCTGCAATGCCCCTCTGCTCCGCCTGCATCTGCGCATCTTCGAATGTGTTCGGTGCTGAAAATACAGAAACAACTACATACGCTCTGCACTCGGCTCAAACAGATACCACTGCAGCTGATGCGGTGCTGTGGAGGAGTAAAGGGGGAAAAATGCTTTCACTGGTTCAGGCAGCGGGAGCCATATCTCTTCAGTATTTAAGGAAAATACTAATCACAGCCACAATGGGAATCGCGATTGGGTAGATGCAAAAACCCCGAACGAAACTCCGTGTGTGTATCAGGGAGGAGAGAAGCGGAGTGGG